CTCCATTAGAAGTTTGTACCGAAGAAGAACAACGATTCAGGTACACATGCTTTAAGGTCAGTAAGGAACCTAGAAACCCTGGGATCAACATCACGAGATGGCGCATGATTTCGAATCGAGAGTTTCAACGATCGCACATGCACATTCCATCCATTTCTCTGGTCGAACAGAGAAACATGCTACGTCGATTCGTTCCTTCTTTTGTAGATTTTCACGGTTCGCCGCGCGCCGGGGGCGCAATAAAAACCAGGCCACGAAATAAGAAGACAGCGGGCCGTCGGTCTGTACCAAAAATTACCACGGCACCGTATTACCGTTAGTTTTACGACAACGTATGCTTCTTTACGATTCCTTCTTTCCCGTGCCGATGGAACGCGAACCCCCCCTCCGAGTAGACGACGTCAGTTTCCTTCTTTTCGGGGGCTTTTACTGCGAAACGGAGCTCGGCTGCCAAATGGAAGGATAATTTCGTGGAACCGGGTCAAACTCCCAACGCCGCAAAACACCGTGTGGTGTTTTCTTTTTCCCTTTCTTTTATTAGGAGAAACACCCGCCTTCGCATTCTGCGCGACGCTAAGCGCCTTTTTCAGGGACGTTCCGCGAAACGAGAAATAAAAGTGACGTCTCGAAACGTACGTATCGGAAATCGAATTTGTTTTGCGAGTGGTAATTTTTAAAATAATAGAACAATAAGTAGCTAAGCATTCTATCGTTATAAAAAGTGACGTTTCGTTCGCGAAGCGTTTGGAACCCTTCCCAGGGCAATGTATACGTTCAACGAACAAGAGAAGCGACCTTAACGTACCTGTTTTTGCATTCAATTCGAAAAGTGACTTTTCCATTGGTGAAACACCGGCGTTCCCATCGCGTCTATTTTTCCACCGGGCTGGAGACACCGCTGACGGGTCTCCGGTGCCTCGCTTCGGAAAGCCCCCATCGAATCCGCGGCCACGGGAAATAAAAGGATTATTTTCGATTTGAAATTGGTACGGTTCGCGAGCTCTAGTATAGTAATTCAAGCCCCACGGTATCGTTCCTCGCGATCGTATCCGGGGGAACGCAGCCCCGCGGTCGGTACTTTCGCGAAACGAGAGGATATCCAAGTTGGAATTTTCAGCCCGAGACGGGTCTTTGTTGGCCGTTAAAATGTCGCGGTAATATCCCATTCCCCTTCGCGCACCGCGAACGTTCGTTCCACTTTTTTTCCCTCCGATTCTCGTTTATATTCTTTTCCCTCTCTTCCTTTATTTTTTTTTTTTTTTTTTTTTTTTTGTAATTCCATTCGAAATAGGAAACAATCCGCCGCGGTGAGTCGAATCGGCTCGATTGAAAATGAAAATATTGATGCGAGCTCCGCCAACGCGCGTGTATTTGACCCGGTGCAATGATGTCGCGTCGATTCTCGCGCAAAACACGTCGCATCTCATTATTTTCGAATTAAAGCGAATAATACACCCTGAACGCCTCGCACTCAAAAGGACTTCCGACACCGAAAATACGATCCACGCGTTTTTTTTTCCTCCTTTTTTTTTTGAAATGGTAACGCGTGAACAATGCGAACCCGATACGCGCCTGTCCATTCAGCGGCTGTTATTGTACAGGGTCTAGCGAAACTTCGTTAATTAACGCCAACACGATCGTCGAAAAACGAATTTATACGAACAGTCCACGCCGGGGTACTTTCAGTCCTGCAGATTCCAGAGAAATATTGTCATAAAGTAATTTTAATAATCTGTCGAAATTTAAGAATGGGTGATACGCGTCATTTATGCACTCCATTGTTTTCGGCGAGTAAAGAGAAATGGAATTTTCAGTTCAGCGAAAGTTCACTAAAACAACCGTTTTCACCGCTAATCCTTTTCACATTCGTTTAGGAAAAATCTCGTACCGCGGTTAGTTGGATAAAGATTCGTTTACTCGAAACCTACCAAGTCGACGAAATAGTATACTTTATATTTCCAATTATCGATTACCTGTTTCTACGTTGAGCACGGTTGAGAAAACGTTGTTCTAGACAATTACTGGCTCGGTGAAAGCAGAAACAATTGCTGCGTTTTTCGTTATCATCGCAGCCAGGAAACAATACGCTCGGGCCAAGATAGAGCAGAGTGGCGCGACTAATGCGGCGGGGGGAGCGCGTCGATAAAACTGGCGCTCTCGAAAATTGGGTTATCTTCGTTGGTTCATTTTCGCGTCCGCGTCGAGGGTTCGCGGATATCGGTAGCGCGAGAATCTTCTTCGCAACGGCACGATTAAAAACGTAGGATTACGAAACGCGAACGTTGGGAGCTTCGACCGTTTCGTGTGTGTAGGCGTGCATGCATGCGCATTCGTATGTTGGTAAAAAAAAAATAAAAAGAGATCAGAAAAAGAGAGACGGGGAGAGCGCGGAGGTCGCGTAACGAAGGAGTTAAAACTGCAGGTTACATCTTCTCTGACGTTATTTCACGTCGCGTCATGGAAAATGTAGCCGCGGCGAGCCAATTAAAATACACGCTCGGATTACGAGGCACCAGGTCACGAGGATTTCGAGCATTAGGGAAATGCGACACGCAGAGGACGCATTGACATTCGTGGCCCCGCGTAAAAACGGCGAACCTAGCCGACGAGACGCCTCCGACGCCGACGGGCATCCGGCTGGCTTCGCGTTGCTTTTGTTCGGAAATTATTCCAGACTTCCCGTGGATTTTTCGACGCTCGTCTCTAATCCTGTATCTTTAAGGCGAGATTACAGAGAACCCTCGTTGAAACGGCGTTTAATATCCCGTGGAACGCTCGGAATTAAAATTTGACCCGCCTTTGACGTCACGCGAATACAGAAATCCTCCGCGTGCAACGGTCCATCGTATCCGTTTCTTTGTATCCCGCCGGAGCGCGAACCAGACCAAAATCCAACGTCCGAATCGAAACTCCCTCAGCTATTAGCACGAATTAACCCTCCGTCGAGAATCGCTGGATCTCGATTGCACCTAACTTTCGATCCCTGCCTCGAATATCTTGTTCTGCCCTCGAGATTTCGTTTCGCTGAAGTTTCTTGAGAATTATCAAGTTCCCTGCTAGGTACGACCACCGCGAAAGATTCGTCTTGTCGCTCAATTCCCCGTGCAAGACGTAACTTCGAATCTCGAGAGGTGGAACACAGCTTGATACTTGAGTTTTCAAGAATTTTCTTTTGAAAATTTTCAATAATTAAAAATGTATCGAATTCCACGCTTGTAGCGTTAGTGGAAAATGGTACATTCGGAAAAAGTGAAATAACGCTATTTAAAAAGAAACGAATCGTACGTGTCTTCGGAGGAAAAGCCCAAAGTTGCAAAGGGAAACGTTCGAGGAATATGGTACAAAATCGGACTCGTGTTCCTTCGCACGTAAATGCAACTCTCCGAATACCTACGCTCAAACTCCACCCAACCGCGCGGTTAACTTCTTCAATGTATGCAAATACTTAAATAGTTATCGGATAGGACAAACGTTTACAGGGAATCTTCCGCGGAGCTGACATGTCGTGGATAAAATGTTTCAGCTCTCTGGACCGTATAGGCTACGTTCTCTCGATACGAGCCAAGTCTTCCAAAGTTGTCAAGGGTCGTTTCAAGTTATGCGGATTGTCGTGGAGCGAATCCTCGTAAGGACCGTCGCCACGTTTGAAATTTATTAAAATCTAGGTCGACCAACCGAGAGGCAATTTTCGCCGGGAGCGAAGAAGAGATTGCAACGCCTCTTCCGAAGATAAATTGAATGGGATGCTTCGCGTAATGCGAACAGGTACTGCGACACACGAGTGATTACCGCGACGCTTGTCCAAGTAACCCAAGGATGCTTCTACAATCCGTGAGCAATTATAAATTGCTGCAGAGAAAGGAACAGTATTAAATTCATATTAAAAAATTCTCGAAGCCTCGCGTTACAGTACGAATAAATTCAAACTTGCAAAGTTGCCCGAGCTTTCCTATGTAGAAAAAGTAGCCGCACAGATGGCTCAACTAGCCGATGTTGACGTCCCCGAACATCTGGTAACTTCGACCTCCATATGTTCTTCAACAGCGCGGAAAGAAACGTCGTCGAATCGTTCTCGACAAATCCTTTTCCTCGTTAATTATATGCTGCGCATTAACGTGCCCGTTAATCACCGCGCGACGATCTAAAGCACGTCTCGCCGACGGCGTATCTAACGGCGTACAACGTTTTCATATCGACCGCGTAAATTTCTTCGCAGGGCTAATGGCATTAAATTCCCTCGTGCGCCATTTAATTCCCTCCTATCCAGCGCGCCTATTCGGGGGGATCGATACTTCAACGATGCGTGCCTTACATTTATCTCGCCACCGTCTCCGTACCGGAATCACCGAAAACCCATTCCCACCGAGCTGTGCGTACTCAGGTCTGAAGTCACGTATCGCGACGACCGTGGACTATCGATCCAGGTCTTGAATAATTTAAAACGCGCGCCACGAACACGCGTAACGTCATCAGAAAACACGTTCGCGCGTATTTTCACCCGTAGGACCGACGGCGGTTTCGCGTTTACGCGGTTCTGCTTTTTTCGCGACGCCTGACGTGCTGGCCTGGTTTTCCTCGGCCACGCCAGCACGTGCATGTAAACACGAGGACGGCTAGTTCGTTACCCCGACTTTTCTACGTCCACGTATTAAGATCAGAGCTCACTTGTACCACTCGCGTGTTTGGTCGACAAACTTTTCCCAAAAACGCGTGAGATCTGTACGGAGTTGCTGATATCCAGGCAACTGGTCCTCGACTGTGGGACAATGCTTTTTAGCGCCCCTACAGAAGCCTTTAGAAACGGTGGTGTCACTGGAAAGCACGAGTGAGCCATTAGCGTCGATGCGCTTTGAGAGTGTTTTCATAACAGACAGCCCGACCTTATATCCGCGTTTAAAGTCCCGTGGCTAGGTCAAGGACGGAATGGGTCCTTGACGTACGCCGTGCTTCTTCGCGAACGGAAGTTCAATGACGGCGTTTAAAGTCTCGAAAAGACTTACCTTATCGTTTCGTTGCATTCGGACTCTCTCCTCGCGTGATCCGCGTTATCCCTCACAGATGAGCATGGCATGGACATCGCGTCCAGAGTAGAGAAATCCATGGTGTCCGCGACAAGGAATCCGTGGATCGTCACTGTTAATCAAACGAACGCACTACATCAACATTGCTCAACGAGGCACGGTCGTCGCGAACAGGCACACCAGACTAACTCTGACACTGAAATGTAATCCCGCGACAGGCACGCACGGACGAGTCTAACCACCGTCTTCGCTGGCCCGGGCACCCTGGCCAGAACTGTCACACGTGCGCAATATTCAGTTACCGCGGCACACTATCCCGTTGTTATCACTCACTCTCTCGCTAGACGTGGGCACTGTTCGCGAGGATCGCTTCTCCGCGACGTAATCCCGCGATCCATCCGTCAGTGCCAAGGGCAGACCTCTATCCACTATCACTGCGACAACATCGTCCCGAAAGCGCACCACTATCTCATCGGCGGGGACGACGCACGAGGCTCACAACTGTCAGGAGGAAGCGATCGAGAGGGTGACGAGCAGCCTCGACGATCTTCGTCCGGCAGCGTGCAGCATCACGAGACTCGCGGATCGGAGCACACCGGTTACGCACAAAACGGAGCGCGTTCCACGGACGGATCGAGATACGCGCACGAGCGGGAGGCGGAACGAAGAGAGGTACGAATTTTTCTCAGCCCTTTCGAATCTGTCGTTTTCACCAAGCAGGAACGTCGACGACGAGCGGGCGAACCTTGCGCGGACGACCCTACATCCGAGTCGCGCGATAGTTGATACGAAACTAGTGGCGAGTTCTCCGTCGAGCGTACTTGCATCCCCACCACCGACCGCGCAGCGTACCCCCTCCGTTGCAATCGCGTAGGGCACACGCGCCCCTTACCCCCTCCTCCTAATGGGCACGCACCGAGCTACCCGGAGCGTGACACACGCTCACGCTTCTGGTGGGGGCTACGGTCGCGTGGCGGGCTGCTCTTTGGGTGGGAGAAGAGAGAGCGAGGGGTATACACCAGATCCGAACGGACGGGAGAGCGAGAAGGGTGGGAGGACGAGAGTCGGTGGGTTTCGCGCAGGCGCCTCGCGCACCTGCGGGAATGCATCCTCGTGAAATGTTCGGTAAGTACGTATAATACGTACGGACGTAAGTACGGGTTAACGAAGGCCGTGGGTGCAGAGACCTCTACGATCCGCGACTACTACGACGGGCACAAACGACCTGCTATCCGGATTAACGTGGCTCGCCGTAAGATTTACGGGAAACGCGACGCTGTACACGCTCGAATTTTCGAAGCAACCGCGACGCGGGCATCGAGTATGGTTCGATCGACGCCTGCCCTGCGGCGCGTCATTCGATAGCGCGTTAATGCTGGAACACCGCACTTCATTATTGACTGTATTAACGTCACTCTGGGATCTGAAGATAGCTTCCATCGCCAACGCTTCTTTCTATAGTTTAAAATAGCGTTACAAGGTGGACTATTTATAGTAAACCACCATCCGGGGGTTGCTTGGAATTTTGTAAAATCGAAGCGAATGGAAACCCATGTATCGCGTAGGAGTGATTGCACCCTCGTCTTCGTCGCTACTCGAGAGGCACGAGAATCGATCTTCTCGTTTGCCGGATATAAGCTTAAAGTACATACATCTCTAAGCAAAGACGTCACACAAGTTGAGTCAGCATCATCCCGTGCAGTTGTCGTCGGTAGCGCGAGGGATAACCGGTGTCTAAGACCTCTGAAGAGATGAGCTCCGGTGGCGAGCGTCTTCTCGGACGTTGAGGAATATCAAACAGGCCTGAGTAGACGTTTGCTCGTATAATAGCGCTGCCTTAAGCGCGATATGTCTTCGGAGCTTAGGTTTCGCTCTGCCGAAGGGTAAACGTTTGCCTTTGGCAAATATTTGCCCGTGTTCGCGGCGGGGATACTTGTCCGCTACCTTCGGCTCGGAACGCGTCCGACTCGCGGGGGTGGAAATGGTCGTGTAATTTTGAACGCATTTCGAGTCGTTCGACCGCGTGCGGTGCACCAGACGAAACGGCGCGCAAGCGCAACGCGATCCTGCGGCATGAGTCCGCGAGAAGAAGAGTAAGCGAGCTCGTGCATGCGGAGGAACGTCGACGACTTTCCTGACGAGCAGGAGGGCCCGCCGCGTCGCGCCGCTAGGAAACTCTCCAGCGTTAGCGGCGACGACGATAACGAGAGTTACGTCGACGTTACACGCCGTCTGAAGGGAATACTGCCCCGTAACCGGGAACTAGACGACGCTGAATATTTTACATTCATACGCGACAGCAACGAAGGGCTACAGGGAGGGGACGAGCGGTTTAGCGGGGGTGGAATCGCTGCTTCGCTTGGAATTCTATACTTTTCCATTTTTATAACGATTATGTAATCGATTCATTCTCCAAGAGAGCGATAAGTTGAATCGCGGGGCTTGGAAAAGTTTCCAGGACTTAATTAGCCATTGGATGACTTTGCAAACAAAACAATAGCGACGAAGAAAAATACGATCGAGGAAAGGTTGTAACACTCGGACTCGAAAAAAGTAACTTGGAAATCAACAGGTTGCGGTCAATGGTGTCAAACGTTTTCGTTAAGTCCATAGAAATAATACATACAATACGGCACGCGTCAACACACGGAACGGTGTATCAAATATATACGATAACACTGCGTCGTACCTCTGTGGTTACCTCTGTGAACGCAAATTGGAAAATCGACGCCACCATCGGTGGAATTAATAAACATTTGCAGCTATGTGGTACGGAATTTTTGAAAGACTCTAGAGACGTGGATAAATAATGTCATTTATTGTACGCATCGGGATAGTATCCAATAAGAGCATTAAACCATGATACGGAGAATGCTACAAAGGAAACAGAATTGCTAGCTTTGCTCAAGCTGTGGTTCAGAGTTGCAAATGCAGGGACCACGAAGGGATGAGAAGGGAAAGGAGCTTGAGAGATAAAGCGATGAGAAATTAAAGGATTCGAGCTGTCCACGAATCAAAATCAAAAGATAAACAGAGATATTGTTGACCAAGCTCCCGTACGAATATCCAGAGTGCTTTAAGGAGTTTCATTTTTAATTCAAATTTTCACATCGGCCGTAACTTCTGAAGTTTCACGGACAGGTTATTAAGAAAAAAGTGCGCCCCCGGATTCTCGCAAGTTCTAACGGAGTCTATCAAGGAAGTTGAACAAAATATCCAAAGTAATCGTTCGAAAAAATGTAGCGTTTGCCTGGATCGCTTCCCGAAGAAAATAGCCTTTCGGAATGTTACAAAACTTGTGCGTCGACGAGGCTGCGCAAATGAACGAAATCGAGATCAATATCAATGCTCTTCCTCGACGTGTCGAATAATTAGATCAACGTCCGTCGGTGTTCATATTATTTTGTCTGGCCTGTACGGTCGTGGCACCGCGAAGGAACGGGTCTGAATAAAGGAGAAGGCAATCTGGATCGTTTCCGCTTGGTTCCGACTGAAAAGTGACCAAGGTTGAACGAAGGATTCCAAGAGCGAGCGTTGGAAACCGCGCGACGACAATTCGTTCGGCGTAACCAACGGTGATAACGAGGAACGGTACTGCGAGGTTACGTGCTTCCTCGGGAGGATATTAATCCGTAATGGTGCACTCAGCCTGGTGGATTTTCAAAGTTTGAGCACTGCGATGTGAAGAGAGAGATATCAGGACCGGGGAGTACGTAGAGCGACAGGGGAACCAAACTTGCAACGCACCCTCCCGATGGCCTCTGCAGTTCACGGCTTCAGCCAGCCTTAATTGAAATTAATCCTCATGAATATCGTCAATATTTTCGATCGGCTTCCAGTCCATGACGTGCATCGCAGTTTTCGATTAAAACGCTCGTCTCGTATGAAAAATTCCTGCCACTTCGGAGGAATATCGGGCGTCCAAAGAGGAATATTCGATAATGCAAAGTGACATAAAAAATATCCACGGGCTTCTAAAAAAAAAAAAAAACGATTCGTAATCTGTTAGTATCGGTTTGGCGTCTACACAAATTTGAAACAAATTTTCAGGGGTGTATGCTCGGAATGTTCTCATATTTTATAAAAAAGAAAAAAAAGAAAGAAAAATAATCGTAAGATTGCTGTATTCATAAGCGAGGGTCTTCTCGAGAGAAACATTTTAACTCAGGGTCACGGATACTTAGCTAATTATTATTTTCTTTCTTCTTCGCTTACGGTTATTTTTTCCACCAGATATTGGGAGAAGGAAACGGTTCCCTTGCTCTATTTTCGTAAGTGCCTAACAGCGCCTGCGCGTCTTACTCCTGCGAGATCGTAAAAATGTATAGGATACTGGAAAGGAGGGAGACTAAGTCCTGGCCTCCCTTCGTCCCTCCTCTTTTTCGCCCAAACGGGTGAGAACCGTCAGCTCTCGGCGACAAGAGCCTCTCCTGGAAGGTTACCAGCAAATCCTCGGACACGAGATTAAGCGAGACTCCGACTTAATTGATTTTCTAATGTACCGTATTAACGGATCGATCCTTGACGGCGACCTCGAAGTTTGTTGCTGTCGCGCTTACTAGACGACGGAATATCGACCACGGCCCCCTCGGAAATCGACCAGCAATCCAGCTATCGGTTTCAACGGCTCGAAGTCGATGAACCGCGTCGAAACGACGAGTAATTACCCGAAAGTAACGGCGTCGGGTAACGACGTCGCGCCACGATCACTGTTCGCTTAATAGAGACGCGCCTCTTTCTAATCTAGCTTAATGTCTTCTCTCGAGGACTCCCCCAGGTCCCTCGAGAGACACGCTGCTACTTCCGTCCGAAAATTGCGGCTTCATCGTTCGTTTTTATGAAACGGTATAACTGGATCGTAATGAACACGAGTAAGCGCGCATCTCATTTCTCGTGGTTCAACGAAACATTTTTCCATTTCCTGTGGCAATGAAGTAGTCGTTGATTCAAGGTTGGATGTTAAACAGTGTTAACGAAGAAGCAATTTTTCGTATACTGCCACAATTATTCGGTATAAAAATCTCAGGACTCGAATCTCCGAGGAAATATGGAAAAACGGGAAAATCGATTTCTTTATTTGAAATTACCCGACTGTTCACTTAAGTCGGGAGA